CCCCCCCAGTGCAGGGCCACGCCGGGCGGTTGGTGGTCGGGCGCCTGGGGGCGGGGCCTTGCGCCGTCCTGCAGGGCCGCTTCCACCTGTACGAGGGGTACAGCCCCGCCCAGGTGAGGCACACCCTCCCCGGGGACACGCCCCCTTCCCCGGACACGCCCACCAGCACCGCCCCGAGCCCCCACCCCTCTCTCAACAAGCCCCGCCCATTTATTGTATTCTGCTCTTAAGCCCCTCCCCTCTCTCTTTAAGCCACTCCCCTTTTACTCCAGAGCTCCTCCCACACTTTAGTTCCTCTCCTCCCTCCACAAGCTCCTCCCCCTTTTCTGGCCATGCCCCTGCCTTAGCCACACCCCCATTCCCTTAGCTCCACCCCTTCATTTGCATGAACCCTCCCACCCTTAGCACCCCCTGCAGGTGGTGACGCCCCTTTGCACATTGGCCCCGCCCCATCTCTATTGGCCCCACCCTTCATTTGCATGGCAGTGTCATCATTTGCATAACCACACCCCTTCATTTGCATGACCAGGCCCCCTGCACAGTTAGCGCCCCCTACAGGAGGCTGTGTCCCTCTGTACCCTGTCCCTTGGCCCCGCCCCTTCCCCATGCCCCGCCCCTCATCCTCACGTCCCCGCCCCTCATTTGCATGTCCCCGCCCCCAGGTGGTGATGCCGGTGCGCACCCTGGCCCTGCTGGGCGTCCACACGCTGGTGCTGACCAACGCCGCGGGCGCCCTGAGCCCCGGGCTGGCCCCCGGGCACCTCCTGGTCATCCGCGACCACATCGACCTGCCCGGGCTGGCCGGGCGCAGCCCCTTGGTGGGGCCCAACGACGAGAGGTGGGTGGGGCAATGGCTCCTTCCCAGGGTGACCTTGGCCACCCCCAGGTTGACATTGGCCATTCCCAACTGCATGTTGGCCGTTCCCAATTTGATCTGGGCCATTGCCGCGATGACCTCGGCCATTCCCAGGTTGATATTGACCATTCCAAGGTGTCCTTGGCCATTCCCAAGCTGACCACGCCCATTCCCAAGCTGACCACATCCATTCCCAGGTTGGCCATGCCCATTCCCAAGCTGACCACATCCATTCCCAAGCTGACCACGCCCATTCCCAAGCTGACCACATCCATTCCCAAGCTGACCACATCCATTCCCAAGCTGACCACACCCATTCCCAAGTTGACCACACCCATTCCCAAGCTGACCACGCCCATTCCCAAGTTGACCACGCCCATTCCCAAGTTGACCACGCCCATTCCCAAGATGACCATGCTCATTCCCAAGCTGACCACATCCATTCCCAGGTTGGCCACACCCATTCCCAAGTTGACCACGCCCATTCCCAAGATGACCATGCTCATTCCCAAGCTGACCACATCCATTCCCAGGTTGGCCACGCCCATTCCCAAGCTGACCACGCCCATTCCCAAGCTGACCACGCCCATTCCCAAGTTGACCATGCCCATTCCCAAGCTGACCACGCCCATTCCCAAGTTGACCACGCCCATTCCCAAGCTGACCATGCCCATTCCCAAGCTGACCACATCCATTCCCAGGTTGGCCACGCCCATTCCCAAGCTGACCACACCCATTCCCAAGTTGACCATGCCCATTCCTAAGCTGACCAC